ACATTTTAACATGGGCATTTATGATTTCAAATCTTTCCAAGTGGGTAGAGGGACCTGGTGTGGCCACTGTGCATTAGTTTTGGTATTCAGAGTTCTTCCAACAAAGATTGTTTGTAACACTAACGTGATACTTGCAAGCAAAGAGCAGCAGGGAGCAGGAAACGTTCAGCCTCTTTGGGGATACCACGTTCTTTGGGGATATATATGTTTCTGCGTTCTGTGTTTGAGATGAACAGATAGGGGTCTTCCATCTCTGACTTCATGTTACTCTCAGCACACACCAGCTTTTGCCAGGTTTCCACTCAGGCACTGTTATCACAAAGGTGGGTAGATGAGAACTTCATTTTGTCTACCTGGCGATCCATTTAATGCTCCAAGAGGTGTAGTGCTGGCTTATCTCATAGAAATCAAAATGGTAGTGATAGCACAAGAAAGCATTGGGTCATCTGCAGAATCCTTATTTTTGGACCGTATTTTTATCCAGTAATGAATTGTGAGGTCCCTACACAGTTAAATCTATATTTATCTCTTCAGGTAGCCACCCCATGACACATGACACGAATGTAATTTGTTTTGTTTCCGGCAGCTTGAAGATCATGAGTATAAACCTTTAGATCCTAAAGATATACGTCTTCCACCCCCAATGCCCCCCAGTGAGAGACTACTGGCTGCGGTTGAGGCATTTTATAGTCCACCATCTCATGACAGGCCTAGAAACAGGTAAGAGTAGGTATAGCTAACAACATGGTAAGGAAAATGCCCTAAGAAGCTGTCTCAAACAAAGAAGTGCCTCTCTCTTCCTTCGCCTGTGTCTTGGTTCTACTAATGCTGAAAACGAGTGCTCTTGTTGTATTTTAATCTGCACGTGCTGTTTGATCTTGCACTGAGATGTGTGAGACCTTTCTGGCCCAGGCCCTCTGTTCCCTACAAAATCTAGCGGAAATCCTGAACTTCTCCATTATCCAAAACAGAATTTTCACAGATGTTGGTTCTGTGTGGTTGATTTATTGCAGTGAAGGCTGGGAGCAGAATGGACTGTATGAATTCTTCAGAGCTAAAATGAGAGCGAGGCGGAGGAAAGGTCAGGAGAAGAGAAATAGGTAAGCGAGCCTGTCTGCTGCCCTCTGATGCATGCTGTTCATTTGGAAGGTGCTCGTAATACATCAGACTAAATACTTAGGGAAAATGTGTTCAGCAGTGTGCTGATGGAATAACTGAGTTTTGACTTGCTGGAATTTTTATCTAGTCTGTAGAAAATAGTTCTTGCCACACTGTCAGGTTTCCACTAGATTGTCTGCAGAAATACAGTGCCTGTATGTAATTTGAATGTGATCAAAAGGGCATTTGCATTTCTCATGCCTCTCCTGGGAGTTTCACTGGAGTTTCTTTTCTTCTATCCATGCAGCGGGCCTTCTCGGTCTCGCAGTCGCTCTAAAAGCCGAGGTCGCTCGTCCTCCCGGTCCAATTCGCGATCTTCAAAATCATCTGGCTCCTATTCAAGGTCACGATCTCGCTCTTGCTCTCGGTCACGATCCTATTCACGGTCTCAGTCCAGGTACAGTGCAGTGAGCTGAATCTTGGGAGTGAAAAACCCCTCAGGGCTGAATGAGGGACCCTCGATTTGCTCTGTAATTTGCACATCTGATCTCACGTGCTCTCTTTTTCCAGAAGCCGGAGCAGGTCCCGCTCTTCTCATAGCCGCTCGCGGTCACGGTCACGGTCACGATCGAAATCTTACTCCCCAGGAAGGCGGCGCCGGTCCCGGTCCCGCAGTCCCACTCCTCCGTAAGCGTTTGTTTGTTTATTTCTCTTTTTACCGGGATTGTTCAGAAACGTACCATCAAAGGCGTTTTTCTCATAACCTGGGTATGTTAAGCCTCTCAACAAATAGGACAGAAGAGAAGATGGCAAGCAGATTTAGGAATGTTACTTACATGCTGTATGTGTTTATATATACAGAGAACAAAGTTACTCTGGTGTGGCTATTTGTTTTAATAAAAACTATGTAGCGATGAAGGCTTCTTATGCCTTCCTAAAAAGGAGGAAGACTCCTCCAAGTACACTGCATGTTAGGAAGACCATAGTGTTTGACATCTCTTGTACTAGGTGCAGATACGGGTGCCAGAAACACACTAACTCCATAATCTAATAACTTCATATTAAATTATAGTTTATTAGAGCAGTTGGGATGAAACTGGATGTTAATGATTAACAGAAATTGAATGACCTTGATGTCTTACTGTGTTAGAACAGTATGATTTCTTCTGCTTAATGCATTCTTTTTATTTCCTTAGTTCTTCTGCTGGTTTGGGGTCCAGTTCTGGACCTCCTATACCAGAATCAAGACTTGGAGAAGAAAATAAAGGCCATCAAATGCTAGTGAAAATGGGTAAGATAATGTTCTTGAATGCTTAAACTGTTTATTTTCTCTGAATAAAATCTTTCACAGACCAGGAAACAAAATCAGGCACCCAACTCTTGCATACAATTACTCTGATGTTCCTACGTATGATCCGTTCCAACACCTTCATATTCCAAGGTCAGAGTAAGTATATTCAGAGCGGTAAGTATACAGAGTATGGAGCAATGGTGGTAGTTCCCTTTCTGGGAAGGATATGGAAGACAAGGACAGAAGCCTGGTATTGCAGAGATCTTACCTATCTAAGGTATTTCATCCTCCTGTAGTGTAGATCAGCTGGGCTGGCTGGAGAGATTGTGCTTGCTCTGTTTCCTCCCCGTGCCCTCTTAAAGGTTTTTAGTGACAGTACTGATGTTTGTAAACTGCCCAAAATCACTGCATGTTAATACTTTTGAAATAAATGGGACAGTTGGTATGTTGTTTCAGGCTGTCTGTATCATCCTGCTGTATCAAACTGATTCTTGAGCTTGCTTCCAAAATGTTTGTCTGTGCAATCTTGGATGCTATTTTTTTCATTATTAGAACTCTGAAGACGATGTTGTGTCCTTTCTGTAGGGTGGAGTGGATCTGGTGGATTGGGAGCCAAGGAACAAGGAATTCAGGACCCAATTAAAGGAGGAGATATTCGAGACAAATGGGATCAATATAAAGGAGTGGGAGTTGCATTAGATGACCCTTATGAAAACTATCGAAGAAATAAAAGTTACTCATTTATTGCACGCATGAAGGCCCGAGATGAATGTAAGTGAATATTACTAAGCAATTTAAAAAGAACTTTGCAGATTTAACAGTGATTTTGTCTTATTTAAAAACTTCACTGTAGACTAGTAACTCTTAATTCTTTCTAAAGTAATGAATAAAGGAAACCACCAGGTAAGTAGAGATACTGAGTAACCTACCATCTCTTCCTTTTCAGTGGTTATTTGCGTTATAATTTAATTTCTGAAACATCAGTGTAATTATCCTGTTCTGTGAAAGCCATGGCCTAGCTGTAGTATCAATAGCCTGTATCTTTTTATCTTATCCTTCAAGAAATAGGGATACCACAGGTTGGATGGCTGCCAGAGCAGGAAGGAGGTCTTTGTGGTTTGAACGAAGTTAGGCCACGTCTGCTTTTTTGCCCTGCCTTACTCCAAGTTTCCTACCATTATTGCTGTATTCTGTCAAATTCAGAGCAGAAATAAATTCACTGTAGCGCAGTTGCAGGAAAGGCTCAGAAAACGTGGAGGCGCTTTTGAAGAGCGGGTGAAGAGAGTTCCCTGAATGATAGACTTTGCAGGGAATCTGAGTTACATAGTACAACTATACTTACCACCAGTTAAAAGGAAAAAACTGGACATGCCAAATGAGAAGTCACTTCTGCCTATGGCTGCAGTAGATCTGCACAATAAAATGGATTCAAACAAAAGCCCAGAAGGAAAATTCCTTATTAATAGAGCCCTCGTTCCATGAAACTTTTCTCTTCCACCAGCTTAGGTAACTGTGGAAAGCATAAGAACTCTTTTCCCTATTGCTTCAGTGAAGCGTGAAACACAAGACCCTCCACCAACCGAATAAGACTGAAGAAAGATGCCTTGCATCTTCTACAGATCATTAAAGCTTGTAGACATTTGGATTAAAGTCTCGAGGAAGTGACAAATGAATTACTTTTAAAACTGTCGTGAAAAATGGAAAGCTATGATGACATGTACTTCAACACTTGTGGTTTAGTGTTTAAAAAGGCCAGTCATTACTATGACATGTCTAGCAAGTTTTAAAATTTCCATTTATTTTGCAAAATCTTTTAATTAGTTACCCGTTTTATACTAGAAGTAAACCCTAGTCAAGCTATCCCTGGTCCAGAATTGTGAATCATTCATTGCTGTGGAATACAGATGTCACCTGATATGGTTTCATGTCTTCTGTAACATATGTTCTATAACATATGTTTATTTCTCTCAAAAGGTTAATTCTATTTGAAGTGGAGGGGTGCTGCCTTGGGATCAAGTCAGACTGATGCTGAGCAGTGTATCCTAATGTCTTAACTGGGGAATGAAGCATCTAGTTTCCAGTACAGGTGACCTATGAGCACTGTGCAAGCTTGTTAGAACCTACCCTACAACTTAACGCCCCTACACACCAGCTGCTGCAGTCACAACTCTGTTCAGAACGTGAGGGTTAACTGTTCTAGATGTTCAAGCGCTCTAAGGGATGTTCAATGCTTTGTAACGGAAGACATTCTTTAAGCTTTTTATATTTTTGTATATACCCTTTAATAAAAGCTAATTAGTTCAATAGAAGAGAATCAATTTTCTCGGCTCTGCAAGTTTCTAACGGTGAAACGTTCTTGGAAACTTCCTTTCAACTAGATGAGAAAAACCTTTTGTAACTGTTTTGAGACCACCAGCTAAAGATGTTAGGTCCGTACACTGCACTTCCACTCCAGAGGTCTGCTTGGTGGTAACCTCTTCCAGAGTCATTTGTTTGTAAAGCAGAAACCCTCTTAAAACCATTCAGTTAATATGGTGAAATATCAGTTTGTTCTAGATCTACTGTAGTTGTGGAACTGTAACTGTCTGTGAATCAGCATACAACACCTGTATGTTATCAACTTGTGAATTTTATTGTTTTGCCTTCCAATAAACACTTTTTTTAATAAAAACAAAATGGTGGCTCACATTTCTGAGTGAATGGATTCCAGTACTTTGGCTGTAAGCCTCCCTTAAATTGAATTCACCTTAATTTTGTGTTCAGGTTTGGTTTTGTAGTAGTCTGACAAAGCTATATTATATACAAACACTGTTTAAATGAGGCACTAAAGTCAGGACAGTATTCTTCTACTGTGATCACATTTGTCTCCGTAGTACAGGTTTTCACTTTTACCATGATAAACATGTAAACTATGACGACTTACTACGCTCCCTTTAGAGAAATGCTTTCGTTGTGTGTTTTCTGCTGAACGCTGACTTAATTTGCCTGAAGCCTCTTGCCAATCCCTGTACTGTGCACATTAGTTAAAATTCAGATGTAGAAAAATAAATGATGTATAGGAAGATACAGAACAGTTAGTACAACTCCTTACAGTACATAGTTTGTATCTTTTTATCTGTACCGTTTGAAAGGGTTTCTTTTTCCACCCTGAGGTGTGTAAATGTAAATTCTAGTTAAAATTCACAAAGTAAAGAGTCAAAGCAGTTTCTGCTCCTGTGCTTGCTCAATTTCTTGGAGTGCTTGCTCAATTGTTAAAGGTGGGGATTTGTGATTCTTGATGTACTGCAAAAAAACAAAGTTAGTTAACCCGCAGCTATCATGTAGATAAATAGTCTGAAGTGTTTAGTGAATCATGTAGATAAATATTCTGCAGTATTTAATAAATAGTAAACATACTTTGCAGTATTTAATAAATAATAAATCTTCATCTCAAGATACCTGCACTTTTCCATACTAGCAACAAAAAGGGATATTGCTATTATAGCATTAGAAAGATCCTTGCTCATTTGTGGACTGCTAGAGGGCACAGCAGAAAAGGCTTATTCTTCCTGTATGCCAGTTTTGAAAGACTTCAGCTCAGTCTTTGTTCCTGTGTGAACTCCCAACTTGCAACCAATGTGAGCACACGCAATATAGTATTCCTCTACTATGACGTAATCTAATAGTGAATTAATCAGAGAAAGTTCATATTAAGAAAATAATTTGTTTGCTACAAATACTTCAGTGTTTGGAAAGCAGTATATGATTACTCTAGGCTACTTTCTAGTCAGTCATAAATACCTCTTTAGCCTCTTCCAGTGTATGATAGTGGAACTGCTCATTCTCTAAAGAAGCCACAAGGGATAAGTGAAGGTGGTGAATATTCTTTACAAACTGTTGAGTCAACATCAAGTGCTGTTTTAACATGTCGTTTAAAACAAGAACTGATGGACTGTACGCTGTCAAGGCTGCAAGGAAGGGAGAGTGTATACTTTAGTGATAAAATATAAGCCAGACCGTAAGTTTTAAACAGTCTGTGTGAGTTAGATGCATAACAATTTAATAAAACAGAATATAAGAAATGTGCTTTTCAGTACCTTCTACCGTATCCATGCTGATGACATGACTGGCAATAGGTACTGGATCAATGTAGCTGTTTCCTACAGGTGGGCCAAGTGCTGCAGCATCGTTTGCTATACAGAGGATAAAATTAGCATTAATGTGTTTGGAGGGTGAAAAGATTTGTTGCTAAAACTCCATAGATGACGAGAAGCCTCTTTAGGGACTGCTGCAGAACGTCTCTAGAGCCCACAACAGGGAAGTCTGTCAGCCAGATGACACTGACATAGTGCTGTGGCCTCCATAGTTTTTTTCCCTTCGAGATCATAACACGTGCTAGTTTAGAAGACATCTTTTTTTTTTCCTCTAACTCTGAAGAGAGTGAAAATAAGGGTTCTAGGTCACTGTTTTCAAGTACACCTGAGTTCCTCTCGTCTCTTCCTTGAGTGCAGCAAGGAGTGGCTGTTACTGAGTCTCCTTTTAAAAGAAAGAGGGGTAGGAGAGGCACTACCCCTCAGAAATAGCTAAAGGGCCTGTCTGTCTTTTGTAAATTGGACCATAGTGTTCTCCCAAGAAATAAATACAATGCAAGAACACCTCTACTGTGGAAGGTCACTTTAGTAACAAAATGTTCAATTGCCACTTCAGGCTATTACTTGGGTTAGTACAAGCCCTATTCTTTCACTACGGTCTATGTAAGCCCTGTTGGTAACATCAGCTCATCCCTCCTGGGCTTCTGGTTGGGAGAGACCGTTTTAGCAAAAACGGTTCCAGGTTGTTCTGTTGTCCAAGCCTCATCTGGTCTACGCATAGCAGATTAAAGTGTTAGGCTTTTGAAAGTTTTTAATTTAATGTCAGCTAGGCGTTGTTAGTACTTGAACTAAGAATGCTAGATACTGAATAATAGCATATAAAATATAAAGAGCTCAAGACTGGCTAGAGCAATATCTTGATTTAAACATGAACTTACTTTTTGACCAGCAATAGGTGAATGGAGAATCAACTGTCTGAACTGCAGTTTCCTTTACAGTCACTCTCTGTACCTGGTCATGCCTCTCTCTGGTAAATACAGGTGATGATGCTGACGAAGATGGGTCTTTTCCAGAGTACGTGCAACTCTTAGAACGGTCCCCTGACGTTTTTGATACAGATTCACTGTCTGTTGCAGACAGGGACTTTTCGAAGTCTTCAGAATATTCTGAATTAACAGTTCTGTCGTCATGATCAGCATAATCTTGTCTGTGTCTAGGAAGATCTGCAGAAACTGCACTTAAATGCTCAGAGATTTCAGCTTCGGTCACAGTTCTTTCAATATTCCCTTCAGATGCATCATTTGTACCCGTTACTACACTTGTTTTAAGGGAGGTTTGGGCCTTTTTGACCTGGAATGTATCTGTTGGGGGGTCTCTGTTTGATTTTTGGACAATTGGAATGTCTGTCTCCTGTAAAATAAAAGGAGAACTTTGTGAGAAATGGAAAAGAAACATTAGGAGAATCAACTATAACCTAGAATATGCCACCATTAGTCTTGATATGTGCTGTAGTATATCAGTAATAGTTAGCAACTGCTTTATTAAGAAATAAAAATGCTGCTTTTATGTGTCACTTTGCATAATGCGCAGTTTTGTTAAATTTACTGAGGAAATACAAAGATACAAAAAAAAAAAAATCTGGTCAGGTTTCAGCACACAGTAAAATCCACATCTAAAAATCAAACCCCTACAACTAGTGGGGCATGCCCATATGAGTAAAATAGGAGCAGTTATTTTAGAACATCCATCCAGCACCAAGCAAAAGCAGAAGGGAAATATGAGCTATTCGGGACTTTCTACTTACGTTCTGCTTCAATTCTGGTGTCTCATTGGGGATATCTGATGCCAAGTCATCAAGGCTCAGGATGTTCAGTTTGAAGTCTGCAATTGAATGACAAATTGTCACTTACGCACCAGAGCACGAAACTTACAGTACACTTTCCCTTAAAAGAGAAAAGTGGGGAAAAAAAAACTCAGTACCACATTCCTAGTTTAAAGCTAGGGTGTTATACTAAAAAGCAAGTCAGCCTTTTTTTAAAATCTTTAACGTAGCACCATCTCTTTCTAAAGTTTCTGGCTTTGCCTGTAGGTGGATCTACTAACCAAGTTCAAGAGATTCTTGATGTCCCTCATTCATGCCTTTTTTTCCGCTGAAATACATTTGTATTTTGTCCCACTGATGACTGAAAACTATTTCAAATGTTGGAATTGTTTTGATGCGATAATCAAGTGTCATCACTCTACGTCCAGAGAAGTATCATTAAACTGAACTCATTACATCAAAAAACAAGAAAAATACAACTACATTACACCAGAACAAAGAAACATTCAGATGAACTCATAATTCTTTTGATTCCTTTCCTAGGCTTACCTAAAATTAGACTACTGAATCCTTTCATTGAGGGTGTTTGCCCTTGTTCGCTACTGTACAGTCTATCTAGACAACTGAAATATTTTAAGAAAAGTTACCATTGGAACTTTCGCTAGTTGAATCTTCTGCCTCTGCTGCTTTTGAAAATAATTCATCTAATGACTTTACTTCACTTCCATCACTTCCAAGTGATACGTGGCTTTGCTTGATTTTGCCTCTTCTGGGCAGAGTAATCTTTACAGTATTGTCCTTCGTGGAAGACGACAGTGATTGAGATCTCACATTATTTAATACTGACACGTTTCTGCTGGTTGGTGAAGGTGTTAGTGAATTAACTCCAAGAAAAATGTTTTTCTCCAAGTCTTTGCTGTGAAAGGAAGGTGCTTTAGATATCTGTGTCTGTGAAATTTCCTTATGAGATGGAAGAGGCATTCTGGATGAAACTGTAGTCTTACTCTTTTGAAGAACATGAAAAAGAAATTTATGCATTACTTCATTTACTGTACAGAGAGCGCTGAAAGCAAAAACAAATTATAATGGGTAAACCCTAATAAATTTAAAATGTAAGCTGAAGCTGATTCATTAACAGCTACAAATACAGAATTAAAAATTAGTTTCTAGCATTATCTAAATGAAAAGTGACCTACCAGTTTAGGACTATTTCATAGAAGTATAAATAAAAATACACAATCCAGTAAAGTCTGTATTTACCTTCCCCCCTTGTTTTGAATCACTTATAGCAACCCTCCTGTTCTCGTTTCTACCAGAAAACTCCAAAGAGCTCTCCATCAGTTCCTTCAGTTCCTCTTCCTCACTATCCAGACCAAGCTGCTGCGTAACTGTAACATTCTCTTTTGGGTTTTGGATGCTTTCATCTTCCTTAGGATGGGCATTACCGAGGGTCACACTTTCACAAGCTGTAGTGTAATTCTTCCGATATTTGTTGCCTCTTGCACTGCGTTCACGACTGGAATCAGATGAGAAGGACTCATCTGAAGGTTTCTGGCCCAACTCGGTGTTTCGCAAGTCCATCTGCTTTTTCCGATTCATGATTTTGCTTTCTAGTTGTGCCACCTTCCTCAGAGCGGTGCTCGACCGCGCGTAGGAGGCGCTACCCAGGGCGCCCTGTGCCAGGTGCCTCCTCGCCGCTGGCACGGCGCTTCCCGACGGCTGGCTCCATCCGTTTCCCTGCCCGGTTTCGTTGTGCGCCTTCAGGAATCTGCTGCGGCGGAACGGCGCTTTTCCAGTTTTCTCCAGCTCTGAATCATCCACGGAAAGGTCGCTAAGGGAGCGAAGGAGGACGCCGCGCCCGGCCGCGGTGGTTCTCCGGTGGACGGCATGGCTGTGTCCCTGCCGAGAAGAGGGCGCAAAGTGAGGGCGCTCCCGCTGCT